TTACACACACTTTGTTACTAGTTGTTTGGGATTCGGTTGGAAACCCCCCTAGAGGTGACCCTGCGTACGCGCCTGCCTGTATAGACCTCCTAACCGGTCTATAATCTATACATATCCGGTCACTCTATAGCCGATACAGACTGTAATTATTTAGAGCTGGACAGATCTTGTCAAGAAGACATGCAGATACACAATAGAATCGACTCGACTGCATGTAGAGTAGCTGCCTCTAACTGCAGCAGAGTGGAGCACGCAGGTACGTGATCAACTCGGGAAAAGTGAAAGGTGAGTGAAACAAAATACAAATAAATTCGAACGAGCAAATACAATAATTGTGAATTCATGTGCAAGTGTCTGTAACACTGTCATCAGGGAGTCGTAAAATACCGGTATTTTACGACTCCCTGACTGTCATCAAACATCGGCAGTAACAGTTACGTACCGTCTTCTTTCGACCAACTTGCCGAATGCCAGATATGCGTGCGTGTGTGTGTGTGTGCGTGCGTGTGTGTGCATGCTGTAGCATAAGGCGCAGTATAAGCACCAGTAATTCATCCAAAACAATCGGTGCGCCACACTACAATGGTCAAATGAATGATGATAAGTAAGGTAGATAACCGCAATCAATAACACAAGCTGAATCGACATTTTGTGTATACTTTAGTCATGCAATTATAAACGGTTTATTGCACATTGTCTCCACCATTTTACATTGCATAGATAAAGTAGACACAAATGTCGATGCAGCTTGTCTTATTGATTGCAGTTATCAAATTATTGTCTCCTCGCCTTTGGTTTAAATACGGTAGATTTCGGCATTTTGTGACCAAAAACCTGGGTGTGGCTTATACTCCGGAAGATACGGTATAATATTGTGTGTGTGTGTGTGTGTGTGTGTGTGTGTGTGTGTGTGTGTGTGTGTGTGTGTGTGTGTGTGTGTGTGTGTATGTGCATGTGTGTGTGTGTGTGTGTGTGTGTGTGTGTGTGTGTGTGTGTGTGTGTGTGTGTGTGTGTGTGTGTGTGTGTGTGTGCATGTGTGTGCGTGTATGTGTGTGTGTGTGTGTGTGTGTGTGTGTGTGTGTGTGTGTGTGTGTGTGTGTGTGTGTGTGTGTGTGTGTGTGTGGTTGTGCATGTGTGCGCTCATCACACACACACACACACACACACACACACACACACACACACACACACACACACACACACACACACACACACACACACACACACACACACACACACACACACACACACACACACACACACACACACACACACACACACACACACACACACACACACACATACACACACACACAGCCGCTTGACCGCACCTACAATGTAAAGCAACACAACGAACAAAGCTGTCGTTGTTTCTTTTTACCTTGCTACGCAAAACTGGTCCTCGCAGTATTCCTCATCTCCACCAGTGTGCGGACATCTGATTTTGTTCCAGTGATTATGAGCTGGTCTGACACACTGCTGGGCATTCGTTGCTCCAGCAGGCACTGTACCACCAGCCACCACACGCGGGTTTAAGCTTGCCATCGTCGACTAGTAGCTGTGGCTGCGAGCGCAACAGTCAACTCGGGTCACGTGTGGACTGGACTGGAGTCGTCGATCGAGTGATCGCCGCCGCCGGTGTGCCCTGTCGATGGTCAGTGGCTACTGGAGCCGACCCGGAGTGACGGCACTGATGCAGTAATGGCGTTACGGAGCACAGCCACTCGGCGATGTGTGTGGGACGGTCGTCGGTCAAGTCTGAATGACGGTGGGCCGAGTAACCGTCTGCATGCAAACGTTCGCTGCATCCACGATACGACCGGCCGCCTCAGCGTGGTTTGGACTCCGCTGTCCCTTCGCAGGCAGCACCGCAAAATAATTGTTGCAATCCCCTCCTTGATCCTTGCCGCTCAAATGTGGACGAGAAATCAGCCTGCGATCAATCGTCTTTCAGGTGTGATGCACTGCCGCCGACTGGGATCATCTCTGCTGTGTAGTAAATAATAATAATCAGTCGACAGTAGTCTGAATGTGCCCTTACAAATAACATTGGCAAGAGGACTCTTTATCGCTGCCGCTCTTCGTCTGTGTCGTATCCATACTATTGACAAGTGCCTTTTAGGCCTCTACGTGACACGTCTGCCTTATTTATAGGTGTCTAATTATTTATCTATCTCCCGTAAACGGATTCATAATCGCCTTTATTTTATGTCTTCACACAAGGCTTGGGGCCTTCCGCGGATCCGGTATACCCTGCTATTTCCTTAGCTGGCTGAGGCTGGCTCCCGGGGGATCCCGCTCTTTGCGATACAGTTTACTTTATACACATTATTACATTATTAGGGGCACTCCGGGATTTTTTTCGGTGGTGTGTTCTCTCCATAGGGGCCTTATATGGCCCCCAAGGAATGGGGAATCGCGAAAACTAGACCCAAAAAGTCGATATATGAAGCCAGGGAGGGCCAATATACAGTTTGTCTCCTCTTTTGATGGTTTTGATGACGTCACGTGTGATTAGCATTCTGCATTGTTGATGAAGAACGATGTTTGGTCAACATTCCCAAGCTTCACAACGCGCGATATGCGTGTTAAAACAAAATGGCGTTATGCCTCGTCATCATTGCTTTTTCTCGTATGGTCCATGTATGTAACTACTGGTACTTGTTTTTATTGTCACGATTTAAAGGGGCACTCCGGCTTCATTTTCGACGCCGAGTTTTCGATGCCAAGACGAAGGTAGGTGAAAGAGAAGACCCCTCGAACAAGAACGAGTCGGCAGAAGCGATCGAGTCGAGCAGGAAGACGACTTTTGAATTTCGGCCGAGCGAGCGCTGATGCCGTAATGAGGGATTAGCTTATTATTTATTATTTATTTATTTCTGCACCTCGTGGCATGTCAAGACAGCCAATTGAATTGAGGAGAGGGTGAGACCAACCACGGAAGAAGAGAAAAAAAGAAAATTAAGAGCACGTACACAAAGTGGGAAGGGATTAGCAACTTACAAAGCAATGGGATGCTCAGCGAGCTATGCATTGGAAGTGGTGACTGTGACTTTGTTTACTGGGAGATACTGAAGTGCTGTCTGACGAGGGTACGGAATTTGGGCATATCTGGAGCTTGTCTAACACTGGGAGGCAGTTGGAGCCACGTGGAGTAGGAGGAAAAGAAAGGGGAATTTACGAATAGGGTAGACCTAGCTAGGGGAGACGAACGCAGCTTCGGGTGGTGCCACCTGAATTGAACCAATTAAGGGACTGTAAATGAGCAGGGTGCTGGTCAAGGAAAATTGAATGCGCCAGGGTGCACTTGGAAGCATCAAGGTAATGTTGCAGAGTGGTAGTGGATGCAGCAGCATACAAGTCTAGATTTGAGATAAAACGATCAGTAGCTTGCCAGTGGAAATGCATCTGCGCACACACATTTCACATACTTTTTGGCCAATTTTCAATCGAAGAGGAGGTTGTTTTCTATGTTCTCTCAACGTCGTGAGCGATCCCGTCTTCTATACCCTTCCAGGCACCCTGAAGGTCCTCCAGAGGAGAATTTATCTCCAGCAAAGCGTTGTTGATCCGCTAAATTCGTCTTGAGACATATTCAACCAGTGCAGTGCTGACAAATGTAGAATGTTGAATCTGTGATAATTGTCGACGATGGACAGAAAGGTTGATAGCCGCTGTCGCAGGGAAAGTGAAGCTGCTGGAAGTAACAACGGGGAGCTTGTTAGCATCACTTGATCAAAGCAGCTAGACGGAATCGGGGAGTACTGACTATTTGTCTCGCCCTCAGTTTATTATTAATAGTGAATTTTATGTAAAAAGGCGACGTGGAGACAATAATCTTAATAATGCAATGAATATAACTAAATGCGCACTCATATCACAACCATGGGGACGAATCATGTACATGTATTCCAGAACGTTTTCTTGTCACAATTATCAATGGAATTCGTGACTAAAGAGAATGATGAAACTACAATAGGATTTATACACTTGGAGTGGAACAGCGAGGATACAAGCATAGTAAGAAAAATAGCACAAACCTAGGAACAATGTGCACAGGTAATACACCAATGTGGTTACCGTGTTCACTACGATCCGTTCGTTCACGATGTTGAAGGATGTCCTACCAACCCTACAATTGAGTCACCTCATTTACTACTTTGAATGCCGACAATGTGGTAGTCGGTATGTTGGTAGGACCCTTCAACATCTGTCCGAACGTATCAAACAACACGTGCCGCTCTCACTATTGTCACAGGCGGCTAGGTCCTCCCGACCAAAGCGTGGCCGACCACGTAAGCACCCGACTCCACTGTCCGTTCCGGCAGAGGCTTCTGCTCCACAAACGGTGTCTCGGAAAAACCAACACAGCACGCAGAAATCGGGAACAAACATTAATGTAAACAAAGACGAACACTGTGTCTTATCTTCATTATCAGCGAGTACCGGTACGCCGGACGCAGACAACCGCAACTCACCAAAGCTGAGAAGGAGCAAACGGCTGGCAGCTCGGTTTGCAGAGGTGACTGGAAAGATGCAACGAAACTCTCCGGATATGCATGATGCCAGCGGAGGGGTTGACGACTGTGAGGTGTTTGGCAATGGCAAGGGAAGACCGGTCAGGAAGAGAACGCGACGGCAGCTGGAGGAGGAGTGTGGAAGCGACATGTGCAGTGACGATGATGAACCCGGTGGTCAGTTGCTGGGAGAGCTGACGACAGGTGAAGGTGGCAGCGATGATGAAGAGGACGATGACGATGATGACGATGATGGTGCAGATGGTGTGAAGGACGGTGGTGGTCAGAAACCAAGTGAAGGCAGAGGCGGTGAGAAGAAGAAGAATACATCGGCAATTAAAGATAGAACGCAATCAGTGTCAGTCGAAGGGGTACTCTCAGACCCACTGCCTGTGAAGTCGGGAGTCCCCCAGGGATCTATACTGGGGCCTCTACTATTCTTGTTGTATAAAAACGATCTACCTGACTGTATAGATGGTTTGTCACTATTTGCTGATGACACAGCCCTCATTCAGTTTGACGCTGACATTGCAAACCTGTGTACGAAGCTTCAGACTGGAATCAATGTTGTTCATGAATGGATGTTGTCATGGCGTCTGAAACCCAATATCTTGAAAACAGAAATAGTCTTTCTCCCTCAAATAGACCACCCTCCTACATTTACCCTTCCCGGACTTGATTCGGCTATTAATATTACTATTGTAGATACGCACAGGCATTTGGGTGTTGTATTTGACTCGCAATTGTCCTGGAATTCTCACGTAGATTTTGTATGCAACAAAGTTAGCAAAACTGTAGGTTGCCTGATGTCTCACTGCTCCCACTTGTCTCCCGAATGTATTCGTCTCTTTTATAAATGCTACCTCCTTCCTATCTTTCTGTACGGCGCCACTGCTTGGCATTCCCTGCTTAGTAAATCTGCTGTACAGACACTAGAAATACATCATAAACGTGTGTTGAAAATTATTTTTCGTAAACCCACTCTTTTCCCCTCTACTGATCTATATAGTTTGGCCTCCACCAGCCCCATCTCTATCCTGTCGCAGAGACAGTCATGCGTTCTGGTCCATCGTATTAAACTGAACATTGTCCCTGAACATCTCACCAAGTATAATTGGTTTACTTTCGCACGGGACACTCGCAATGGCATAGTACTTCCCAGAGCTTTGTCAACTATGTTTACCAAATCTCCTATCTTCTCTGCATACTCGTATTGGCTCAAGCTGCCCATGGAAATGAAGACAATATCCAATATTAGACAGTTCATAGACCATGTTAAATGTCATGCCACGTTGTAGGCTCGCTCGCCTCTTTTGCTAGCTTATCTCGCCGCTCTCCACCATGGTCAACATAGTGATACATTTCACCCCGCTGATGATGATGATGATTGATTTTATTTTACTTCGCAAGTTCAAACGGGTTCCTGGCCCAGTTATATGAAAGCGAAGGATAGAATTTGCCAAAATCCTAATGAGCAACAGCATAGGCAATATTATCATAGAAGTGGAGTACTATGCGAGCGAGAATACTGAGACGAAAGAAACATGTCAAACCTGACGAAACACAACCTATTTCAGGCATACATAAGGAAGGCAGGCTAGCTTAAAATCTTGCAATCTGGATACGGTGCGCACCTCTCTAGGCAAACTGTTCCACAGCAATGCTCCTGCGGTGGCGAATCTCGTTTGGCCACACCGACTGCGAGCTGGCTGGCTGAGCAGACCATTGGCATGCTGATGGCGCGTACTTCTGCCGCTGCATGCTGCTGGTTTGAGAAGCTGGGCTAGAGCAAGGCTAGTGGAGTCATTTAGACAACGCCAGATGAAGATCAGGAGCTTTTGTTTGAAAAGTTCAGTGACGCGGTAAATCGAGTTGGCAGCCAGGAGGGGCTGCATCGCGGAACATGGCGGGTTGCCATCAATGCATCGGATCGCCCGGTTTCTGCTGATGCATTATTTTCTTCCGATTATCATCTTCTTTCCTTCATTCTTTCTTCTTTTTTTTTCTTCTCTTGCCATGGCTGGCTAACGCCCCCTCCTTTGCATTGGCTTCTGCCATTGGACGGTGAAATAATAATAATAATAATAATAAATTGCATTTGTTGTCTAACCCCGTGTGTCGTGAAAGTTATGATGATTCTTGGTTCAGTGTTGTTCGTTCTGCAAGTAGTTTCAAGCAGTTGAAAGTTCTAGAAGCAGTCTACATTCGCATTCGTGATCCAAATCTTTGTAAACAAAAAGAAAATGTCACCGCACTTACGCTATTCCAGTAAATTCGCACTCACACACACTTGCATATCCATGTCCATTGTCACACTGCACTTGCTGAATTTCCTATCATTTCTCACCTCACCTATAGTTTATTACCTGTGCACATTGTTCCTAGGTTTGTGCTATTTTTCTTACTATGCTTGTATCCTCGCTGTTCCACTCCAAGTGTATAAATCCTATTGTAGTTTCATCATTCTCTTTAGTCACGAATTCCATTGATAATTGTGACAAGAAAACGTTCTGGAATACATGTACATGATTCGTCCCCATGGTTGTGATATGAGTGCGCATTTAGTTATATTCATTGCATTATAGTGAATTTTATGATCAGAAAATTTTCGATCAGGATCCCTTCTGCAAGATGTGTAGTACAGCCTACAGGTGATTTCTGAACTTGACGATATGGAGACCGACCAGTAGACCTACCAACAACGTGTACCTGCAAGAAATTCACCCAAGGCTATTGCTAATGCTATCCTCTTCAGTGGCTGTTGTTTTTTTAGTAAAAAATATGTTCACTTCTCTCAACATACTCCTGCATGGCAGCAAGAAGGTGCGCTATGGAATTCAACGCCACAATCTTCGCCCAGCTGTGGATGAAGCATGGTCAAGTCATGGCAGTACATATACTTGAACCAGATGAGAAATTGAAGTTCATTTGTGATGCGAAGTTTGACAGCCCCAGTGACCGAGTCCAGCGTTGTCTTTTGCCGTGGCACAAATTGCTGAAGAATCCGAGATGGTCTTGGAATTATGCACATGGATACTACCAGAAATAATGGTGGCATGAACCATTGTGGAATGGGACAGCTCACGGAGAATACTGGAATAGCTCAAGTATCTCTAGGCGATTGTAAATCCTGTTCTGGCTGATAGCTTCGGCCTGCTGCGCCCGTCCATGTACAATGATGGGAACATGCATTTCTGTTTTCTACATATTTGCTATCTACTGTACTGTGGTATTACAGTTGCAGGTCCCTTATATAGAAATATGTTCACCCCCCCCCCCCCCCCCACCATGATAAATATGAACTAACAATTTCACTGTTGGACTCGCCGGCGGCTAGAGAGCAAAGGATTAATTTATAGCAAAGAAAAGGACCAGGTAACTAGAAGTTACGCTATAATGTCCACGAACAATTTCACTGTATTTGAAATAATTTTGTTTGATACCCTGAGAACTCTGAAACTTTGCAGCACTGTGGATTATAATGTGGATACAACATTTATGGAAGGAACACATAGTTCAAATAATTATAGCACTGAATTGTTGCGATTGTGAGCACATTCCAATCAGTACTCTACATATTTATAAGCGGTGGCAGTCGTTAGGAATAGGTCGTGAGTTGTCAGAGTGCTTTAGTATATGAGAGAATGTTTTGTTTGTCTAATCGACGGCTCGTTTGAAGCCAGAGTTGTTTGAACTTGTTTCAGTCGACTTGATTCTACAAGTAGACAGTAGTCGAAGGAGTACTATGAAGTATACACCAGGCGTAGTCTGTAAGGTATCTTGTGAGAATTCTGTCGGTACACATCAGGTATCAGCTTGCAAAGATGTCTCCTCTCTGTTTCTTGAAAGCCTGTATAGTTGGACTGTGGCTCCAGCGATTCCCTTCTCAGAGCAGGTACCATACCCAATACGGTCAATGCATATTGGACAGACCTGTGTGCACAACAGAAATAGTGGAGAGAAATCTCTCAGCTCATGAACACATCAGTGAAGTTTGAATTGCCGTTGTTTGTGGCCATCAGTATAAACCTATCGCCTACAAGAATAATGTGCAAAAACGTGACCCTCTATAACTACAGCTGGGGCCATGGAATTATAAAGCATCTAACTTAGGGAACTGCCAATTCTGGTCGGAGTTGCGTTCGAGGGCTGCAATTCATGATGGCTATCGTATGTTGCATTGACCAGAGATCATATAAAACTTCCATGCCACATTGAAGCACGCACTACTTTCGAGTACTTTGGTATCCCCACCAAATGGGCATTCGTTCCCGGGGTGGCAGGCGTCACCATTCGTCATGCCTGGATCAGATTTCATTGACCCCAACTGTCATGAAGAATCATTTTTACTTTGACTGGATTTCTGTACAAGTTGTAGAACTGCAGAATAAATTTTGTTGTATTTGGGCAACCATTTCTCTACAAACGCTCTATTTAGAATTTTTTTATAAAATACATGTCCAAATTCCACATCTACCCAAATCGGAATACTTGATCACGTATTCAGTCCTACACGGAAGGTTTAGAAAACGCCAGGGACTAGGAATTTGCTAACGAGAACTCCAGGCCAGGGTACTAGCATACGAACAAAACAAGATAAAAACTCACCAGTATACTTGTAGTAATTCATGTCGGTGTAATATTCACGATAAGCAACGAGGCACCCTCCGATTTGGTCAAGCTGCGTTGAAGTCTGGTTGTTCAGGTGATACAAACGGGCTCCCCGTTGTTACTTCCAGCAGCTTCACTCTCCCTGCGACAGCGGCTATCAGCCTCTCTCTCCATCGTCGACAATTATCACAGATTCAACATTCTACATTTATCAGCACTGCCCTGGGTGAACATGTCTCGAGACGAATTTAGCGGATCAACAACGCTTTGATGGAGATAAATTCTCCTCTGGAGGACCTTCACGGTACCTGGAAGGGTATAGAAGACGGGATCGCTCACGGCGTTGGGAGAACATAGCAAACAACCTCTTCTTCGATTGAAAATTGGCCAAAAAGTATGTGAAATGTGTGTGCGCAGATGCATTTCCACTGGCAAGCTAATCCCTCATTACGTCATCAGCGCTCGCTCGGCCGAAATTCAAAAGTCGTCTTCCTGCTCGACTCGATCGCTTCTGGAGACTCGTTCTTGTTCGAGGGGTCTTCTCTTTCACCTACCTTCGTCTTGGCAACGAAAACTCGGCGTCGAAAATGAAGCCGGAGTGCCCCTTTAGTGGTGGTACGAGTGTTCAAAACCATTTATTATTATTATTATTATTATTAAATTTTTTGATAGGGCAATCCCCACAGGCCTAAGGCCTTCTTACGGGGTACCCTAAATGTGCCAATACAAGGTTACGGAAGCGAGAAACAGATGTGCATAGGCGAATGTCAGCAGGTAGAGAGTTCCAACGATCTGAGCCTAGAAAACTAAGAGAAAAAAGACCATACCGATTTGAAGCAGGGGGAAGAGTAAGGGCTGCAGAAACTTGAGAGCGTGTACAGGAGTTTGTATGTGACGATGCACTGCGCAACGAAAAACAACTAAAGAGTGGGGGGGCTTGCGAGATCATTAAATGATTTTAGTGAACGGAAAATAAGAACAAAAAGTCTGAGCTGATACCGAGCGGCGAGTGGGAGTAAATGGTTGCGTTTTTGTAGTGCACTGATGCTGTTGAAGCGAGTGAGGTTGAACACGGCAACCTTAGCAGCACCTGCACAATGGAGGGTCTCACGGAGTTTGTGCACCGCCGGTCTGTAGCAGCCACAGGGAACATCATAGATGTCCACTCATGCAATGTACACACGGCAGCTAGCGGCAAAGTATCCGCCAGGGTCACCATCGATGCAGCTTGCCTGGCCACTGTGACCTCTGCCAACTTCTGGCCTCGGCCTCTCTACTGCAGGACATGGAAATTCAATCCACCCAAGAAGAGCAGCGGCAACTACAAGGCCCACAGCAGCAGTGATGGTGGCAGTGGCGACGCCAACGACAATGCCCACAGCAGCAGTGACGGTGGCAGTGGCGACGACAGCAGCGGAAACGACTGTGGCAGTGGCGGCAGCTGCAGCAGTGACGGTGGCAGTGGCGACGGCAACGACAATGCCCACAGCAGCAGGGACGATGGCAGTGGCGACGACAGCAGCGGAAACGACTGTGGCAGTGGCGGCAGCAGCAGCAGTGACGGTGGCAGTGGCGACGGCAACGACCATGCCCACAGCAGCAGGGACGATGGCAGTGGCGACGACAGCAGCGGAAACGACTGTGGCAGGAGCGGCAGCAGCAGCAGCCGCAATAGCAGCAGCGACAGTTCTCCCAAACCCGGCGCCGAGTTAACTCGGACCCCTGGGCAGAAGTCACGACCCCACCAGCGTGGTTCTCCCGCTGAAGACCAAGCTGCAAAGCGCGTGGCTCCAGTCAGCAAACAGTGATGTCTGCTGCCAGCCATATACCCCTGCTAAACCCCAATGCTACTCCCTTCCAGCCTCGAAGGTCCCGGGGCTCCCAAAGAACAACCAACTGCAACAACCTCAAACTGTTCGTCACGAGCCTCAACATCGGGTTTTTGAATATCTGCAGCCTGCGCTACAAGCTGCATGCACTGGACAGCCTTGCCCACCAGCACAACTGGGACGTCGTTGGCGTTGCTGAGACCTGGGTCGTTGCTGAGACCAGGCTGGATAGTACAATCTCGGATGGCGAAATTTGTATTCCCGGCTACAGTGTTGTTCGCTGTGACCGGCCCGATCGCCAGGGTGGGGGCACATGCCTCTATTACAAGACATCACTCCCAGTTACCTATCGTTCTGATCTGCACAATAGCCACCTGGAGGCTACCTGGATAGCTATTGGCGGAGGGCAACACCAGCACCTCGTTGGCTGCCTCTATCGCCCACCAAATGCAACTGCTGATTTCTGGGACCATCTGGACACAGTCCTCCACAATGCTGCCACGATCACGCCATCAATGACACTGGTGGGTGACTTTAATATCAATCTGGCTCAATGCATGACCAGTCGTCCTCACCAGCGCTTCTGGGACCTTATCGGATCGTATGGGCTCCGCAACTACATCCAGTCTGCCACACGAGTCACACCCCGATGTCCGGATGGAACGCTGCTTGATTTAGTGCTCTCCACCGTGGGTACTATAAGTCATTGTGAAGTTGTACCCTGCACGATCAGCGATCACTTCCTTGTGCATGCAAGTCTGTCTTTACCCTCCTCGCAACACCCACTGCAGCGGATATCAGTGCGCCTCACCCGCAAGATCCGTGCCATTAACCTTGCAACATTTCGTGAAGATATTGCCTCGTGCAGCCTCCACTCCTTTCCCCCTGCTGCAACTGTAGACGAGATGTGGAATGGCTGGCATGCCAAGTTTATGTCGGTTCTCGAAAGTCACGCTCCCCTGCGTGAAGTCAGAATCTCCACCAGGAGGACTCCCCCGCCATGGTCCGACCGTGATCTATTCCAACTGAACATGCGCAAGAATAGACTTCACCGAAGGTGGCTACGAGATAAGACTAACGTGCATCTACATGAGGAGTACAAGCGAGCCCGTGCAGAAGCCTCAAATGCTTACCGGCGAAAACGCAATCAGCATTTCCAACAGCAGTGTCGTGATCACTCCTCCAACCTGCGGATGATGTCGTCCGTGATCAACTCTGTCACTAGCCGTTCTCGTCAACATCATCAGCCAAGGTGCGACATCACAGAAGTCTCGGATGCCTTCCACAGCATTGTACATGATCCGTCCCGTCCGGAGCAGCTCCAGATTCCCATTGGTCCACAGCCGCAAGGCTCAATGCTGACCTTCCAGTCAACCACCCCAGATGAGGTCAAGCACCTCCTGGAACGGATAAATCCCTGCAAAGCCACAGGCAGTGATGGGATTCCTGGGTGTCTGCTACGTGCTTGCGCTGACCTGTTGGCTCCATCGCTTTCAGTGCTCTTCAGCTCATCGCTGAGGCATGGTGAAGTCCCTCTGGCTTTCAAACATGCTGTAATAAGCCCTCTCTTCAAAGCTGGCGATCCATCGGTAGCTGCAAATTATCGTCCTGTGTCGCTCCTGCCGATCGTATCCAAACTACTCGAGAAGATAGTCCAGAAGCAACTTGTTGCACATCTGGAGCGATCATGTGCCATACCACCGAGTCAGTTTGCCTTCCGCCGTGAGCACTCCACAGAGGACGCCCTAGTTGTAGTAACAGATGTCATCTTAAAGGCCCGGGACGACAAGTTGACCACAGGCGTCTGCCTAATCGACATGTCAAAAGCCTTTGACAAGGTCAATCACAGCCAACTGGTCCGGGACCTATTCGATCTCGGCCTGGACAATGCCTCCCTTCGCTGGTTCTGCAGCTACTTAAGCGATCGAACCCAGCAAGTGCGCATTGGCCCCACCTACAGTGTTGCTGCTAAGTGCTCATCTGGTGTACCTCAGGGCTCGGTCCTAGGACCGATCCTGTTTAGCATGTACACCCGTGATGTCCCTGCCATAGCCCATCCTGCTCCATCTCTGCAATTTGCCGATGACATTACCGTGCACTGCCACAGAAAATCAGTGCTAGCCACATCAGCCTGCCTATCAGGGGCTGTCACCAACGTCGCTGACTGGCTCAAGCATCGACATCTGCTTCTAAATGACAAGAAGAGCCAGGTCCTGTCAATTGTACCACAACGCAATGCGGGTCAGCATGTCACTGTCCGCTGCAACCAGACAGAGCTTCCCCTGAGCCCAACAGCAAGGTACCTCGGCGTGACCCTTGACGCCGCTGTGAAGTGGGACCCCCATGTTGACGCGATGGCGAAGAAAGTTGTGCAGAAGATTGGAGCATTGTGGCGGTCCCGCAGATGTCTGAGCCTCAGTAGTCGCATCCAGTATGTGAGGTCAGTCATCATGCCTGACCTCCTATATGGGTCTAACGCCTTCTCTTCCTCCCTCAAGGTTTCGCAGCTTGATCGCCTTCAGGTCCTGCAGAACCGAGCGGCGAGAGCGGTATACGGTTTGCCGCCTCACACCTCGGCTCAGCCTCTGCTCGAACGGATGTCCCTGTACAGAGTTCGCGAGTGCTACGCCCAGAAGCGGCTCGTCCTGGTGTGGCGCTGTGTCAATGGGAAAGCCAGCAGTGTCCTCCAGGACCTATTCTCACCATCAGCTGGCAGCACCACCCGGCACCAGGTTTCCAGGGGCCTCACTGTCCCCTCGGCACAGTCAGAAGCCGGCAGATCTCGCCTGGCCTTTCAGGCAGCCTTGGCCTGGAACGCTCTCCCAAGGAGTGTAATAAGGGCGCGTTCAGACTACCGATAAAAAGTGACCGATTGGGAAAGTCGCCAAGGTGATTAGATCACGTGACGTTACTGGCACGTTACCGGTGGGAAAGTTTTACTGCCGCGGCTGCTGCGGCAGTAAACTTTTACCGGCAGTAAAAAAGTGCTCAGGCTGCATGCGCGCTGCGAAAATAAGGGAAAATCCCTTGTCAGTGCCGCGGTGAGAGCTGAAAACTTCACGGTAACGTTAGTTTGTTATCGGTAGTGTGAATGTCCTTCACGGTTTATCGGCATTCACGGTTTGACGGGGTTCACGGTAGTCTGAACGCGCCCTTTTTTAAGGGAGATCAAGGCTGCCCAGCAATTTAAGCTTGCCTCCATCCCCTACACCTTGCAATGAATGCTCTGTCTGACTTTTCCCGTCCACACACCACGTCATTTACTCTTCTCTGCGTGCTTGTGCGCTTATGAACTCTTTGTGTTCCCTCTGTTGACGCTTTAAAATCGCTCTATTGACACTGCAAAATCGCTCTGTTGACGCTGCAAAATTGCTTATCTGAGTTATCATCTCCCTACCTCCCTCCCCCCCCTCTCTCTCTCTCTCTCTCTCTCTCTCTCTCTCTCTCTCTCTCTCTCTCTCTCTCTCTCTCTCTCTCTCTCTCTCTCTCTCTCTCTCTCTCTCTCTCTCTCTCTCTCTCTCTCTCTCTCTCTCTCTCTCTCTCTCTCCCCGTAGCTCTCTCCCTTTTGAAATTCGCTTCCATAGAATTGGGCACCATTGCCCGTTTGGCCTTGCGAAGTAAAATAAAAATCAACAACAACAACAACACCGTGCGCAAGGCACGTCTACTCAAGCGAACCAGGCGCTCATATTGACCCTCACGAAGGCCGTGAGCAAACGCATTTGACCCGTACTCGAGAACTGATTGGATGGACGATATGTAGAATGTTTTCTCGGCGTGCTCCGTGAGTTGGTGTCGTATCTTCCTGAACACGGCGATCTTGTTTCCAATCTTGCGCTCAAGGTGGGCGATGTGGGCACCGAAAGTAAGGTGTTCATCCAAAACGATGCCAAGGTACTTCAGGCAAAGGGGCAATTGAGGTGTTGTTCAGTTGAAGGCTGACGTCAGGGGTCAAAGGTGTGAACTTCGACCTGAAGATTATGAACTGAGTCTTGTCAGGATTGAGGCAGAGACCTCGTAGATCTACGATCGTGCAGCCAGGAAATCACGAACAATGGTAATATCCTCAGTGAGATCGAGTGTGATTTGGTTTAGGTCCTTGCCAGCTTTGTAGAGGGAAACATCATCTGCATATTGCCGTGCCTTGCAGTGCTTCGTTGCCGAGGGAAGATTACGAACTGATAAATTGAATAAAGAGGGCCCAAGGACAGAGCCTTGCGGCACACCTCTGTTTCCTGCATATGTGTCCCCCTGAGCTGTCTTCGTGACGACGCGCTGTTCCCGGTTCTGTAGGTATGTAAGGAACCAGTGCAAAGCTGCACCTCCCACGCCAATGTCTGTCAATTCTTGTAGGAGCATGCTATGGTTTACCGAGTCAAATGCCTTGGACATGTCCAGGAATGCGGCAACAACAAAATGTCCTTGATCAAGGGATGTGTGCCAGTCGTTCACTACACACGCCAGTAGGTCTTCACAGGAGTGGTGTTTCCGATACGCAAATTGCTCCGGAGGGAGTAGTGGTGTCGCATTCGGAGCAGTGTAGATGTGGTCCATGAGTTGTTCATGTGCCAGTGTCCCCAGAAGCTTAGCCATCTGGGGCAACAGTGATATCGGCCTGTAGTTGCTAGCAATGGACTTGTCACCTCTCTTGTAGATGGGACGTACATGTGCAAATTTGTAGCATTCGGGAAACTCACCGGTGGAGAGTGAGGACGAGAAGAGCCGTGCAAGTGGTGCTGATATTTGCTCTCCAAGTATCTTGTAGATGGTGGGAGGGATCAACTCAGGACCTGTGGCCTTGCGGTTGTCAAGACGTCGTAGGAGAGCCAGGATGCCATCGGCTGTCACAGCGGTGAACTCCGAGAAAGAGTGTTGAGGCAGTGGCCCATGTGGAATTGTCAGAGGGATTTGTGAGTTGAGTGAAGGATCTGATCTGTAATGACCTTGGCAAACGTAGTTGTGATATCATGCAGACTTGC